CTCTACGGCCTGCGAGTCTAAACGAATGGTAGGCGGTTATTACCCACTCACATAGCATCTTAAAACCACCATCACTTTGAATATACAAGAACTTCGGATAATTTTTTGTTTCATCTGCTATAGAAATAACTTATCCTCTGCTGCATACGATTTTTTTAGGCCAAGGGTAGAAGTTTGATCAGATATTTCCATAGTTACCAAAAAAGTCCTTAAATCGTCCTAATAAAATGGAATACTTCCAAATGCATAATCAGTAAAACATTAGGTGGATTGAGACTAGGTTGAGCAGTGTATCTACAATCAGCTACCTTCGGCTCTGCCATCTGCTATCTTTCGTCTGCTGTTTTCACGACCGTCGTAAAATACGGGAAATCAACAAGCGCAGTAGATCAACTGGTCTCCAGGTGTAAAACGCCAAAACAAAATAATAGGTAAGCAAAAAACAAACCAAAATTGCTTCAGAGACTTGTAGTTGGTTGTATTAACAATATCAGCTCCACCTTACCAATTATTTATTCGCCCTCGCACTTTCACTTTTCAATAAACTGCTCCACACACACGGACGAACGTTATTCACCATTTCCCTACGCTACCACCAACCTTTTTGAGTGCGCGCCGTTGCCAAGAGTATCAGCTGGATTGCCTTTTACTTTCAGTAAACCGTGCTCTATACTTTAAGTGGTTACAATTCGCTCTAGTGAGATTGTAGACATTTGTTTTGGAAAATTCTTACACATGTTAAAACTGTGCCTCTGAAGCCGGTGTGACGTCACATCCTAGGCGTTCGTAACGTTAAACCGGCCTAACACGAAAACGGTTCATCATAGCAAGATGCGGTTTAAATATTTATTCTTAGATTTTTTTGCACTAAAACTCTCATTTCTGGATCACATCTCCTTCAAGTGAGTGAACATTTTTCGACACACTACCAATATTTATATTCATTGGTCGAACATCTGAGATTTCTATTTTGTTTTCTATTATAAAGCCGAAAAAAAAAACGTTTTAATATTCATACTTATATTTCGAAAATAGATACACTGTAGGTGCAATTAAAATTTCGAAAATTAATACATATATTATGTTTATTTAGTACAATATTTTTCATTATTTATGCTATTGGTTTGTATTTCGGGCAATAGGCATGATCGAATTGTCCGAAGAAAATTTCTGCCATACAAAACCGGTAGCACTTGAAAATATTCACAAAGCGGAATAGTTATTTCTCTACCAAGTGCGCGAAGTGATGCTTCCTACAGGCAAAAGCAGTTAAAGTTAAACGGAGAAGCTTCGAGGGCGGCAAAGAGACTTATCTCATACGTTAGGAGCAATATATTTTTTTTACAAACGTTTACATCTTCGAATATACATACGTATATTCGGTGTCGAGCTTTTTTGCCAAAATATAAAAATAAACCAATTTAATTTCAAGACAACACGCTTTCATGATAAATTATCGGTTATGTTGATGCACTTGTCTAATTACTTCCGATTACTCAGCCAGTCCGGAGTCTGGTCCGATTGTCTCTAACTTTTTTACACGTTCCTCTTTCGTTGTATTAGTTTTGCGTTCACAAAATTCAAGTACATTAATATACTCGTTTATCCACATGCTTGGATGCTAAATGAACACAATATTTTTTTCGCGTTTAAATTAAGCGAGGCAAAAATTACCTACATTGAAATTTACACTTATCTGAATACCTCACTGAATGTTGTTTCAAATTACCCCCGGTTCTAAATTTAGCGTTGCGAAATTGTATTTAAAATTCTTCCGAGTGTAATGATATATCACTATTCAAATCGACTTTTCCTTTAAATTTTGCTGTGCAAGTGAAGGTTAAATATCCGACTGTGTTAACATCTGCCTCTTCAAAACGCCTTTTTGTTAAAATTTTACTTGGCAAATGTCTTATTCAGAAGGATGAATATCCGAGTGTGTTAACATGTGCCTCTTCAAAGCGTATTTTCGTTTAAATTTTGCTCTGCAAATGTCACATTCAAAAGGACGAATATCTGAATGTGTCATTAAGTGAGTCACCAAATGCTCTTTTCGTTTAAATTTTGCTTTACAAGTATTACATTCGAAAGGATGAATATCCGAGTGTGTTAACATGTGCATCTTCAAATCGCCGTTTCTTTTGAATTTTGCTTTGCAAGTGTTACATTTAAAGGGATGAATATCCGAGTGTGTTAACATGTGCCTCTTCAAAGCGCCTTTTACTTTAAATTTTACTTTGCAAATGTCACATTCAAAGGAACGAATATCCGAGTGTGTTAACATGTGCATCTTCAAAAAGCTTTTTTGTTTAAATTTTGCTTTGCAAGTGTTACATTCGAAAGGATGAATATCCGAGTGTGTTAACATGTGCATCTTCAAATCACCGTTTCTTTTGAACTTTGCTTTGCAAGTGTCACATCCAAAAGGATGAACATCTGAGTGTGTTAATATGTGCTGTTTCCAATTGCCTCTTCTTTTAAATTTTGCTTTGCAAGTGTCGCATTCAAAAGGATGAATATCCGAATGTGTTAACATGTGCATTTTCCAATTGCATTTTAGTTTAAATTTCACTTTACAAGTGTCACATTCAAAAGGATAAATATCCGAGTGTGTTAACATGTGCCTCTTCAAAACGCCTTTTTGTTTGAATTTCACTTTGCAAATATCACATTCAAAGGGATGAATATCCAAGTGTGTTAACATGTGCATCTTCAAAACACCTTTTTGCTTAAATTTCACTTTGCAAGTGTCACATTCAAAAAGATGAATATCCGAGTGTGTTAACATGTGCCTCTTCAAAACGGCTTTTTGTTTAAATTTTACTTTGCAAGTGTCACATTCAAAAGTATTCGCATGTGATATCAAATGATAATTTAAACTTAATTTTTCTTTGAACATAGCATTGTAACATTGAAATTTTCCAACAACATCTGCTCTTGGTGAATTGGCATTTAAATATTGCTCTTCTTTTATAAATATTTCCCCAATTAGATCTATTAGCTCAATTTCTGACACTTCTATATCTTCATCGTCTAGATGTTCATTCTTTACCATAAACCTACAAAAAATGTTTGTTAGATTTTGAAATTTTACGAGGTAGATAGGATTAGAATTCGGAAAATGAACACATGTGGTAATTTAGTCATACAGTATCTTGAAACAAAAAAAGAAAAAGTCTGGGTCTCAGATTTTTTATTATTTTATTTACTTAATAGTTCACGCGTTTCGCTCATACGAATATATTACATATTACGTTACATTCATCATAAATTAAAATTAAAACAGCATGAAACTTTGATAAGGCAAATAACAAACATTCTCCAAAATTTACATTATTTTCAATTTTCTTCGGAAGATTGAAACGAATGGGAATCCATTAGAATATTGCATTACAATGCTATCATATGTATTAACCATTCAACTATTGTCGAATCGAACATCTTTTTTCTTCTATATGCTTATAGTCTAAAGTTAGAAGATTAAAAACTCTTGGTCCCACATAATAATATGACATATGACGTTGACAGGCTGTGAAATTTACCCTGCTAAAACAAACGTGTTCCCATGTTATAGATTTTATATTATGAAGACCCACCGGAACAGTTTTGTATGTATTATTATTTTGCATATTTTTTTATTTTTTTATTTGTCAAACACATTGTGTTTATTACATTAAAATCTAGTCAGTAAGACTAATCAGCAATTTTGTTTTAACCTAATTTACTATAAAGTTTAAAATTCTTGAGGTTCACTCAACAGTTTTCCCCACTTTGCTTAAACTGTAAATCACAATTTTGATGTGTTAATAGCACTATTTTGTTGTGTTTTTCAATTTCAGTTCACTAGCTCGAACGGCTTCACCCTTCTCAGTCTTCTAACTAGCTCAGTGTTGTCTAGGAGCTCAATCACTTCCACATTCACATGCCGATGTAGTCTATCTTCATGGCTTTTTGCGTACTTTCTTATAGTCTCTGTTACAGTATCAATGGGGTTGTTCACCATAGTTAAAATCAAGCATTTTTTTCTATTGCAACGTTAAATAAGAATGAATTATTAATTATAAGCACAGTAAATTACAAAAAATATTCACGGGGTAATCAAAATTTCGTTTTAAAAGTCCACTTATTTCAGGCCCATTTTAAAAATGAATTATGTTGGCTCTATGATGACGTACAAACACTTACCGACCAATAGGATGTAAGTAAAGCGGCAATGCGAAATCCTCTTCTAAATTTTATATTGATATTGTCTAGTTAACCATTATTTTATCCGATCACAATAATATGCATGAGAATTCTTTGACAATTTGAAACCTATAGTTATTTATGTATCAAGGGAATTATGCAGGTGTTAATACCCCAGGGCAACGTTTGTGTCCCGAAGGCCTCCGGCCTGAGGGACACCAATTGCCCGTGGGTATTAACTCCTGATAATTCCCGTGGTAAATAGATATTTTTATATCCTACTGAATTTACTGTATTCTGTCTATTTTTATAAAGGAATAAGCCATAAATCAAAATTTCTATTTTTTGTCAAAGTGTTACCTATTCAAGGTAAAAGCGGGAGTTATGGAAATCCTTATGATATCCTTAACTCCCTTCCTTAACTCCCTTGGGAGTTATGAAAATCCTTAACTCCCTTGGGAGTTAAGACCCTGTTTATGATTATCGTAACCAAGGTATTATATGGTTTTCATAGTTCAGTAGGATATAAAAATATATTCTAACTAAAAATGTGACACTTCCAGCTACTGTTTACGATTTTTTTATTTTTATCAAAGTTTTCACAAACCAAACACAATCCCTAGGGAATCAAGATGAAATGTGGCAACCCTACTTGTGATCCTGTGACATGACCGACATGACAGATGTGTTACCCTAACCTAGTTTTGCTGGTTTATTTGTGTTGAATGTGATTTGTTTATTTATCTTTCTTTAAATAAAAACTATCGTTTTGAACAGTATTTCAAACAAATTTTCTGAACAACAATTTCAAAAATATGTCAGCGCTGGAGAGCGGATTCGTTAAAGCGGCTTCTGATAATCTACCAAACGTGGACATTGAAATGGTAAATAACTTTTTTGTGAACAATTTACAGTTCAGTTTCTAAGTTCAGAAGTTCGCAATATTAAAACAAAAAGGTGTGTATAGTGTTTGTATACATATAATAAAAAGTTTTCAATAGAAACTGACAAGATTTTTAATTATTACAAAAGGCATACTTTTTTTATCCCCAGGTCTGCCTCAGAAAAATATGGAGATAACGCAATAACATATGTCCAGCTAAAAAGAGCAGATAACATATGTACAGTGAAGGCCAAAATTACTCCAGAACATAAGGTTAGGAATGTAGCCTACAGACTGCAAGCAGTGAACAATGAGGAAGACGAAGAAGTGCTAAGTTGTGAGTGCTTGGATTGCCCAGCCTCCGCAGGTAACTATATTAATATCATTTAATTATGCATAAATTAATGAATATTTTAGGAGGTTGCAAACATGGAGTGGCCTTTTTGTTGTGGCTTCACAGAAGGAGCGAAGAACCTTCAGTTACTTCAGTTGAATGCTACTGGAAAAAGTCCAAGTTGGCCAAGGGTGTCGAAGTAAACCAGAGCATTGCTAACTTAACAAAAAAAAAACCTCCTATCTTACTGAATACTATCGACTCTGATTTCCTTAAGCAAGTTGTCCAAGGTTGTTCCCAATCAGAGGGTACATTGTTTAATTTTTTTAAAAAAGTCAAACTAGAATTTAGTTCATTGTATCAAATTATGCAGAGTTTTGAAGAAAGTAGCTTTGAAAAAAATGCAGATTCTTTTATTGCTTATGCAAAAACTGTCATGACTGAAGAAGCATGCAGGACAGCAGAAAAAAATAGCCGTGAGCAGGTAGACTCTACAGAGTGGTTTGAACTACGATATGGGAAAATTACAGCTTCCGTGTTGTATGAGGCATCACGATGTAGTACATTATCTGGGGCACTACATGGGAAAATATTAGGAGGTACCCCTGCTCTGAACACTTTTGCAGTTACCAGAGGCAAGAATCTTGAGTCCCAAGTAATTGAGGTAGTCTCAAAACACAAACAAATCAAAGTACACAAGGCAGGACTGTACTTATTGAGAGAGTATCCAATTTTCGGAGCTTCCCCAGATGGAATATCAGAAAAATATGTTATAGAAGTCAAATGTCCATCAAAAGAAAAAAGTGTGGAAAACTATATATCCCATGGCAAGATAAAAGATAAATTTTTATGTCAGATTCAACTTCAAATGTTATTTGCTCATAAAAAAATAGGTCTTTTTTGTGTAGCGTCTCCAAATTTTGAGTGTAATAGAGAAGTTCAAATAGTTGAAATAAAATATGATGAGGCTTTCATCTTAGAAGCAATGAAAAATGCAGAACTCTTTTGGAAAAAATCACTTTTTCCTGTTTTATTTGACTAGGCAATGTGTTTGTTTATATACTTATATTATTCTTTATTCTATTCTCAAGCTTTGGCCATGAAAATGGTTCAAGCCATAGTAAATATATTTTGTTTCTTTCTCAATGAATTGTTTTTTTTTGAGGAGGAGTTATTTGCACAAAGGTATATTTAGTCATGTATTAAAAAAAAAAAACATAGACTCTGGTTTCATTTGAAATTTATTTTTACCTGAATCTAAAAGAAAATAAGTTTTGATGGGTATAAAATCAAAGAAAACCAATCCTAAAGATAAGAAAAAAATATTTTTGAAATATCAGGCGTAAAAATACATATTGGGAGTCAAAGCATAAAACTAAGCCAAACAAATTTTATATAAAAAAAAACTGAACTTGTGATTTTATTTAATTAAGGGATTTTGTAAGTTTACTAGAGCACATTTTATGATTAAAATATGATGAGTTAAATACAGTAATGAATGATGTACACATGCATGAGGTTTTGCAAAATTATATTCTCTTAAGGTTGTCGCTCACTGGAGCGCAGCGCACGGCAGCGCGGCGGAGAGGACTTTTTAAATACATTGTTTTGAACGAGAGTACGCTCACTTGTCAGAAGCGCACCGATCGGCAGACTCCCATTTAAAACAATGTATTATAAAAAGTACTCTACGCCGCGCTTCCGTACGCTACGCTCCAGTGAGCGTCTGCCTTTATCCTTCGAATAACTCTTTCAATATGAATTCGAAGGGATGCAATTCGCTTGCTTTCTTTCACTTCATATTTGGTACTTTTTTGACCGGAACTTACACTAGGGGGCCTTAATAATATGCAATTTTTTTTTGCCAACATGACACTTATATGTTTGAAGCCCCTGTCAGCCAAAACATGGCAGCTCCTAGGTAGTTGATCAATGTATCCACTTTTTTCAACAATATTCTTGTCACTAATCCTTCCTGGGTAAGGTTCAGATATAAAGTTTATAAAACCATTAGGGGTACTTGATACAAGAAATTTTATAGTATTACATTGTTTATAGTCTGACCAGGTTTGAGTTTGAAGCACCGGATCTGATGGTTTTTCGATTTCTATTTCGAAGCAATCTATAATACTTTGGACTTTCTTAAATCTAGCACGAAATGGTATAGGCAATAACTTTTGTAGCTTACGAGCATCAGGCCAAAATATCAATTTTTTTAAATATGTAGCTATTTTACAAACTCCATTTGTAAATATATTGTGGATTTGAGAGGAACTGATACCATATTCCAATCCTAGTTTGAAATAAGGCTCATCAAGCCTAATCTTTTGCAAAATTATTAAAATGTTTCTGTATGGCAGTTTTGTACTTTCGGCCAATGTTTTAACTATATTGAATCAACTTTTGGGTACCCCCAAGAAAAATACAGGCTCCAATTCAGCCAATAATATTGAAGTTGTTTTTCTATCCTCTTTCAAATTGGTTTCAGTAATATCTTTTAGTTCTTCACTGTCTGTTGTTGAAGATTTTACTAAAAAATCACTAACGATTTCACTAACTTCTTCGCTAGATTTAGAAGCTTGAGAAAAAGACAAGTTCTTCACAAAACTAGTGCTTAATACACTTTTAGCTAGCACTGGGGATGTTGATTTGTCTTGATATGTCAGCTGTTTAACTTTTGTATTTGTACCAGTGCTTCTAAATGATGGTCGTAAATTACATTGAATAGAAACTGATTTATTTTTCTTAGGAATAGAAGGAACAGTTCTTTGCTGTACCTGTACTCTAAATGAGCCAGATGGAGATCCTTCAATTTTTTCTTCCAGTATATTTTCAACTGGGTCAGTCTCTGGATCGGGGAATATCTGACGATTTTTAGGAACAACACTTAACTTATTTATTGACGAAATAATACGCATATTTTCAAGTTTCCTCTTTTTTGCTGAATCAGTGAGAGTATTTTTCTGGGTTTCTGGTCTTTGATGTATATATTTATGAGGCACAACATCTTGTTTTAGAACAAGGTGGCTTCCCATAGTCTTGAAAAACATCCAATTTGCAGCATCTTGCTCAAGCTACAAAACAAAAAATACAAATTATGTACATTCAATTTTTTCTTTATATTATTAGGTACCTACATCAAAGTGATCTTCACAAATATATTCAACAATTTTTCTGTTGATTGGAATTTTAATATTAGCGGCCTTCCACCATTTTTCTCGCCTCTTCATTTCATTGGGAATAGAAACAAATATTTTGTCCGTGTTAGTACTTGTATTGGGGCAAATTGGCACTAGACAGATTTTAGTCCTTTTCGACATGTTGAAAATCGTTTATCGGATTAAATAGCATAAACTCCAAACAAAAAACAAAAGAGAACAAAGGAACACAAAAAGAAAGAACTAAGAAAAGTAACAAAAGAGAACAAAGGTACACAAAAAGAAAGAAGCTAAGAAAAGTTTGTTATATTTTGTTGTTAATATGAAATAAACAATGACAATGAACATTCATAACCTACAAAACAAAACGGGTACATCCAGCAGCGTTGCCAGTGGTATCTATATTATCAATATGTTCCCAAATAATCTTATTGTTTTTTTTATTTATTTATTTAGGTATACCTTATTGACGATAAGACTTATACCTATCTTTAGCAGATATTTTTTCAATAAACACATTATACTTACTCTCTTTTTCTAGCGATGAACACTTGACACTTTTATTTTTAGTCCGTATAGTTTTGTAGTAAATGTTTTATTTAAAAGCAGTGTGGCAACAGAGCCCAGGGCGACGGGATTGTCAAAATTTGAATCTCTCATTGGCCAGAACTTGTCTCTACGTCATAATAGCGCGGCAGAAGTGCGCGTTTGAATACATCGTTTGAAAAATGCAATTTTGATTATTTTTTGTGAATTAACGGAACCGTGAAAAAAAAAATCTCAGTGACATTAGACATAAATAAAGCTATCCTATAATAGTAGATTATACCACGAGTCAATAATGATAGCTATTATTCCCGAGGATTATTACGAACTGAGCCGCGTTAGCGGCGAGGGAGTAACATTTCGAGGGAATAATAGCCATTATTGCGAGTAGTATACTCTACTTTATTTACGACAAATTAATTTATTTGAGATTTTCAATGAACAAATTTCATCCGTCTCATAATTTTCAATACAAATCCACAAGCACTACACGTTTGACACTGACACTTTTGTGGAATAATGACCATTAATCCCGCTATACTTTATTAATCCCTGGAGGAATAACATTTGTCATTATACTGCCAAAATCACAAATATAATACGCACATTATACATTAGTCGTGAATAAAAAGAGAAAATAAAAAAAAAACACTAAACGACCCTATTTCTAGTTCCCGATGTAGATCACTATTTCGAACGTACCAAGGTGCATTAACACTATTTTTTAGTAGTTTATTTTGGAATCTTTGAATAACTTGTATGTTACTATCTTCAGTACAACCCCAAAGTTGAATGCTATATGCCCATACTGGTTTCAGTATTTGCCTATAAAGCAGTAACTTGTTATGTATGATTAAATTGGACGTCCTTCCAATTAACCAGTACATTTTTCTATACTTAAATTCAAGCTCTTGCCTTTTTTTCTTAACATGTGCTTTCCAGCGCAATTTCGCATCAAGCGTCATACCAAGATATTTAGCTTGATTTGAATATGGTATAGGGGTGTCATTAATTGTGATTTGTATGTGATTTTTGTTTTTGTTTATAAAATCAACGTGAATTGATTTGGTTTCATTCAATTTTATTCGCCATTTTTTGGTCCAATTTTGAACTTCGCTGACAGCGTTTTGCAGTTTTTCTGTTGATTGTTCAATACTTTTTTCCACTGTAATTAAATCAGCATCGTCGGCGAATATTGCTAATTGACAATTTTCTGGTTTTGGGATGTCGCATGTAAATAATAAATATAAGTAGGGACCTAGCACGCTACCCTGAGGTACACTTGCTTTTATTTTTCGTAAATTTGACTCAAAATCTTCCTGTTTGACTCTAAAATGTCTATCACACATATATGATTCCAAAATATCAGAATATTGTTTTGGCAGAAACAGCTTTAGTTTATAGTTTAGGCCTTCATGCCAAACTTTGTCAAATGCTTCCGCTACATCGAGGAAAACTGCGGAACAGACTTTTCCCTCTCCAGCGATTTTTCTATTAAATTCGTTATTCTGTGTACTTGGTCGATCGTAGAGTGCTTGTCGCGGAATCCAAATTGATGAGTTGGAATGATTATTCCATTATTCTTTTTAGCAGTATCTTTTCATAAAGCTTAGATAAAACGGGCAATAATGATATTGGCCTATAAGATGACACATCATGAGGTGGTTTTCCGGGTTTTGGTATCATGATAACTTCTGCAATATTCCAAAGTTTAGGTAGGTACGTATTTAAGCCTAAAGGACGCATTGAAAAGGTTGCATAATTTCACAATAGCTTTCCTGGAGAGTTGTTTTATTACTTCCCTAGTAATTTGGTCATATCCTGGAGCTTTTTTCGGACTGATATTTTGTTTGATGTCTGTTAATATTTCTCTTGATGAAGTAGGCTTAATGTGGCCTTCTTCTTGATAAGGTTCATTCCAGGGAAGATTTCCATCCTGTGCTTCGTTAGCCTGAAATGTCTTTTCTAAATGACTTGCAAACAGTTCTACTTTTTCTTCGTTACTCCTTGCCCATTGCTGATTTGACTTTCTTATGAGTGGAATTTGGGTAACTGGTCGTTTAAGGCCTTTAGTTGCTTTCCAAAGAGAATAATCAGTGCTTTTGTCGCCGGTGAGTTCACTAAGGTAATTGTTAATAGAGTCATGTTTGATTTCTTGAATTTCTCGCCCTATGCGCTGCGTCATATTGTTGATAATTGTTTTGTCATGGGGATCTCGACTTTGCTGCCATTTTCTTCTTATGCCCGTATTACATCTGTGTATTTTTCCGTGTATTTATTCATGTAGTTCAAGGTGACAACCGAAAAACTTCAAATGCAACATAAATCAGCATTATGAAAAACAAAATAATGTTGGCACCCTGAACTACATGAATAAATACACGGAAAAATACACACATGTAATACGGGCATTAGTTTCTTTTTTTCTATAATAAGATCTCTAATTTCTTTTGGGTAGTTTTTTTCCCTTAAAAATTCTTTTTAATTTGGGACTGTTTTCCCAAGCTGCTTGTTGAATATTAGCGATAAAACAATCGACTTCGTCATCAATTTGTTGTGGCGTTCGCAGCGGTTCTGATAAGTTTATCTTTTCCGACAGACTTTGTTTAAAACTAGCCCAGTCCGCCAGTTTATTAACTAATGAGATTGGGATTTCAAGATAAGCGATACTCTATCTGGCGGCAAATTATGGAACTAGTTTGTAGTACATTGTCGTTTTTTATTGTATTGTTTACCATTGTGTTTTTTTGAATATTTGTTTTTGAATTTTTAAAGCGTGTTGGGGAATAAATAAGTGTAAATTATATCAGAGACATTCAATCATGACCTCAAATCACTGCTGTTGTGTTCCTCAGTGCAAGTTTTGGGCCAAAAAAGATGCTTACAAAGGGTTGAGTTTCCACATATTTTCCCTTGAAACAGGCCTACGGGTTTATTTGGAAATGAAGATGGGAAAATAGTTAGAATGGAGAAGAAAAGCCTGGATTTTAAAACTTCGTATTAGCAAACCAGTGATCAAATTCATGAAAGTGTATTTCTCTGCATTTCAAGTAAGAAGTTTGTGTTGTCTTTGGTTAAGGTAAACAAACATAATAGATATTTTTGTGTCCTAGCTTCCTTTTAGGACTGCCCTAGGCATTGATTGAGGACCTATTATCTATTTTTGAAATGTTTTGTTTGAAAATTTTGACTGTTTTTATTATTTACAGGTGGGAGTACAGGTAAAGGTCGGATATTGAAAAAAACACCTGAACCATCCCAGAATTTGCCCTATTCTACAGTGATCCATAAACCCAGCCAAAAAAAACAGATTCCATGTGTGCTGAAAGACCTGCCAAAAGAAAAAGAAATCAAGATTCTAGTGAGAGCGGTTCAAGTAATGAATATAGTGATATTTGTATTCAATTATTGAACTCTTTTGAGACAAACATACAAATGGACGAGCAAACAGCAGAAAGTGTCAAGTTTTTATTAAATTCTAATTACCAGTATTATAGGCAGTTTTGTGGTCAAGTTATTTGACTTTGTTAATTCAATATTCACCTATTTATAAATAAAAATAAAGAGTTATTTATGAAATATTTATTTATTTATTGCACATACAAGTTATTCAAATACAGACATTATAAGGGACATCTGCCTTGACCCTTTTGGCAATGTCCTATAGTGGAAAATTTTAAGAAAAAGATCCGTTTAGGCTGTTGTATGGATATGACCATTTCGGGTCAGGTAAGCGCAATAGATTATATTGAATTTTGGCCTGCCTTAGGAGCCATAGAGCCCATAAACGCAAGACAAACATTCAAGCTAATGTAAATCATATGCAAATTAAGTTAAAAATAAAAGTGAGGTTATGAATCAATGTACTAGAAAGTAGTTGAGCTATTCGCCACCGCGGCGCTACAATCTTAATTTGAAATCCCAATAGGTGCTTTTTTCTTAATTATATATTCACTCAGAGTTAGGATAATAGGTTAGTGATCTGAGTGTAAATCATAACTTTCTTCTATATCCAGAAAATTTGGAGATATATTTTTTATTACGAAAAAATCGATTAGATCGGGAATTTTTCCAGGATCGGTTGGATAATATGTTGGCCTACCTGTGGATAAGGGCTTTGCATATAATTAATATTTTTTTCAGATAGAGTTCTCTTATCGTCAAAACTTTGTCAAGGCCATAAAGTATTTTAATTTTGCAATCAACAGAGAATGGTTTATGGTGTCGAAAGCCTCTAGAATAGTCGAACAATACAAGAACGATTCATCATAAGCTTCAATTATTTCAGTGGTGACTCTAGCTAAGGCAGTCGCAGTACTGTAGTATTGTGCTTCTTTCTAAACCAGCACTGCACATCTGCTAATATTTTGTTTTCACTGAAATAATTACTGATTTGGTTAAACAAAACTTTGTCAAATATTTTCAAGAATAATGGTAATATACCTACTCATAATCCTAAGATCTGAGAATTCTTTTGGATTATTATTTTTTGGAAGAGGCTTTCCTAAAGCAATTTGCCATAGATTGGGAAAATATTTGGTTTTTTTAGAAGTGTTTATAATATGAACAATATATTTGGTAATAAATGTTCTACAGTAATTAATCATATTAAAGCAAATATTATCCACTCCCAATGCGTTAATTTGAATTTCAATAACTTCCCGGATAGACGTAAGTATACCTAAATGAAAACTTATTAGTTTGAGATTATATATTATATTATTATTATAATGTTCAATTTTGGCACTACAATTATTATCCATATTACTAAAATAGGTCAAAAAATAATTATTGATATCCTCAGGAACAGATAGCGCACGAGGCAAAGAAGAAGGATTAGATCTTGGCTAGATGCGCAGATGTTGCCCTGCGTAAATTTCGAAATTAGGAACACTAGATAGGTGCGATTCAAATTCCAAAAATTAATGCATATGGTCATTTATTACTAC